CCCCCCCCCCCCCCCCCCGCGAGGCCCTCATCTGCAAACAAGGGCGGTGCTCTCACTATCCCTTGCAGGATGCTGTGCCAGGAATACAAATCCAGGAGGCATGTGAGGAGGTCTTTCTGAATCGAGAATAAAAACACTGATCCCCTTAGATTTGCAGCTGTCACTCTGGTGAGTGTATAAACCTGAGAAAGGAGCCCCGGTGGAAGCCGATTAACACTCTAACTGGAAGGCCTCCACGTGGCATTGGGCCACTTATCGCTATCTAGCTGCTTGGTGAGGGTCAGCTATGCCTGCACCATAAACGAAAAGCCCAGAAGAGAAAAACACTCCTATTTTTTTTTTTTTAAGGTTACCCACGAGGCCTCAGAAAAGGCAAGAGTATGGGCATCTGGGTGGCTCAGTCGGTTGAGCGTCCGACTTCGGCTCGGCTCATGATCCCGCGGTTCGCGGGTTCGAGCCCCGCGCCGGGCTCTCCACTGATGGCGCAGAGCCCAGAGCCTGCTTTGGATTCTCTCTCAAAATAAATAGTAAACATTAAAAAATTTCTTACAAAAGTAAAAGGCAAGTGCAAATGCCCAGCAATAGGGGACTCCAGCTCCAGGCTGAGCTAGATCACTCCAGTTCCAAGGCCCTCCTGACTTGAGAGAAGCCAATCCCCTAAACTGTGTCTCTCTTCCAAAAACTGTGCTCACAGTGGAACTGAGTCAAGGAAATGAGTATTTTTCTATTTTGTGGTCTCTTCCTTTCCTTTTTTTTGCCCCCCCTTTGGGGGGGGGAAACGTCTTTTCCACAGTGAGCTGTCACAGTAGGGATGCTCCCATGAAAGCGTGCTTATAACGCCTGTGGGCTTCTCTGGGCAGCCAGAGGAAAGGCTGCTCGCTCCCATGTGCGGCTGGGAGCAAGACTAACAGAACCTTCGGGTCTTTGGAACTGGGAACCTCCTGGATTGGGATTCGTGCAGCACTGAAGTAAAAATGATTCGGGGACTGATGCAGATCCTGGAATACGTTTAGGTCTACGAACCCACATAAGCCTTCTTTTTTCTCATCATGAAAACACCATGAACTAGCTTCCCCAGCGGCGGTCGCCTGTCCACACAGAAAACAGCAGAACCACACACACACAAAAAAGGATACAAAAGCTCCAATGATGAAAACGGGGCTGAAGACATGCTTCTGGAAGGTAAAGAGAGCCAGGCCCATGTAGGAGAAGATGAAGTTCTCTGCCAGGAAGTGTAACACCTCAAAGAGCTGCACAGAAAGGGAAAAGGAAGCCATAAGTCATGTGGGCCCCCTCCCTGCTAGTCACAGGGCACTCGTGAGGACCCAGGGCCCGCTCTCACCTGCTTCGTTCGACTTCTTGATTCCACCGACAGATTGTTGTAGGTGTAATGAGCCTGCGTGATGCCACAGAAAAGGACAGCCACAACGCCTGGGGAGGGGTTGTTAAAAAAGAAAAAAAAAATCAATGATGAAAAAAAAAAAAAA